AACCAAAACAATCACCAATTTACGAATGATTTTTTTATACTTTGTTGAAAATATAATCATATCTGCTTGATATATGGTTTAAAAGATATGTTGATATGTACCGTCCAAATAAATTACCAATGTATGGAAGGAAATATGTAGACGAGTATATGGATAGGCGCCTCGTACAGCTCTAGTACTTAGTGAATTGATCAGGGACGAGATTCGGCTCTACACGTGTGGACACCCCGAGTTTGCTACTCAAATCCAGTCTTCTACTAGTTGTGGTAGGGTTTTGTAGCTGGTTAAGTTTTTGGTAACTCTGTCTGTAAGAGGAAAGTAGGCTTTAAGCCTCTGTATTTTTTCAACTCCCTTGTGTTGTTTTGGCTTGGAAGGTGCTATTAATGAAACCTACTAATTACCGGGGGAAAAAAATTACCAATGAAATCATTCTCAAACATTGTATAAAATCCATGTCATCAATCATGGGGAGTGGGGGGTTTTGACATCACTGTTTTTGTGTATTTCAACCCATATTCACAACATATATAGGCAACCAACCCTTTATTTTAGAGTGAACACACAATTTAGGATGACAAATAGAGTACATAATCCTAGACTATATTTATGAAACTTTGGAATCAATGACCATTTATTAGTCATATCAAAAGTCCAAAATTCAAAATTTATGTTATTTGAGCATCTATTAGTTTTTATGTTATTTTCATTACCCTATATGTTTTGATAAATTATTGATATGAAGCATAAGAAAATCAAGAACCACTTTGCCAAAAAAAAGTATAATTACTAATTACAAAATTGAAATTTAAAAAATGAGAACGAAAACTTTGGAATAAATTTTATCATAAAATATAGTCGGATAAAGAAGAAAAGGAAGGAATGAAAAAAACCGACAGCCAGAGATTGGAGGAGGAAGATGGATCAGAGCCGAAAATCAGGGGGCCTGTGAAGAGATAAATGAATTAGGGAGGACGGGGGGACAGGTGGAGTTGCGATTTTGGGGAAGAACAGGAATTGAAGCTACACATTGTATGGCTCGGGTCGAGTGCAGTTGGGAAGAAAGGGAGGTATGGTTTGATCGGACACCTGTCTTTTTAAATGATCATTTATTAGTAGTTTGTAATGATATTACCAAGTTGATTGAAGCATTCAAATGAGTTATAAAAAAGGCAATTGCATAAGAAAATTTATAGGACAGCGGAGGTTGTCAACCCGCGGCTCGATCTCTAGCGGATCTAGAATCACTGAGGAAAACGGGCACGACATACTCGTAGGTCGGCACACATCAATATTTCTGAGTTAGAAGTCACACGACGTCGTTTTCCCTTTGGTTTGAGAATTGTGCCTTTTATCCGATTTTCCACTTTTCCTAACTCTATCTTTGGATTTCTAAGTTGTACTTTTTTATATTGATGTTATATGAGCGTGTTTGAATTTTCACTATACGTTGGATCCAAGTACGAAATGTAATTTTGGTGTAACGTTATATGTTATTAGTCATATGTTACATGAGATTTGATATAAGATAGAACAATATAATGACTTCTTTATTATATGTGGGCTAAAACAATCACACCATTAACGTTTAACCCACTTTCTCGACAGGCGCCAACGGACTAAACCGGGTTGAAAACCTTGGGACAACTTTAGTTGAGGTGAAGAAAAAAGATTAAGTGGGAACTTGGGAGCGAGGGTAATTCAATAATAGAAAATTAAAAATAATTTTAGTTAGTTCTATGTCTAGATTGTTCTTCCTAAAATTACTCAAAAGTTTGGAAATTTAAAATGTCAAAAATCAAACCTTTTAGAACTTATTATTAGCGTTAATGGTTGATTGAAATTCATCATCGAACATTTCTCGACAGGCGCCAACGGGTTAAATCGGGTTGACAACTTTAGTTGAGGTGACGAAAAAAGATTAAGTGGGAACTTGGGAGAGAGGGTAGTTCAATAATAGGAAATTAAAAATAATTTTAGTTATTTCTATGTCTAGATTGTTCTTCCTAAAATTACTCAAAAGTTTAGAAATTTAAAATGTCGAAAATCAAACCTTTCAGAAATTATAATTACTATTAATGGTTGATTGAAATTCATCATCGAACATCTCTCAATAACTCAAGTTGATGAGAGATATTCAATAATTGATCTTATACCACCTACTAATACGCCCCCTCCAACGAAAGTCACTCATATAGGCTTGAAGTTTGCACAGGTATGAACACCATGTGTTTCACATAATATATGAGGGTCATCGAGATTTGAACACAAGGTACATGATCCCGGTAACCCCAATTTGCTAAGCACATGATGTATGATGTTTGTGCAAACTTCAACCTATATAAGTGACTTTTGTTTAAGGGGTGTGTTAATAAACGATATATGATTCATAATTGAACTTCTCAAAACAATTCGAGTTATTGTGATCAACTCGTTTTTTACAAAATCACCATTCGTTTTCCTTTCGTAAATGATATATTATTATCATTTGTTTTTCCTTTGCCCTCGCATGTACTACTGACGTTTTCATTTTGTTTTTACACTCATGATGCTCTAAGTTGGCATTTGCTCATGCTGATATTAGGGAAATCATTTCATAAATTACATTTCTCAATAATATATCACATCATGAGAGCAGAAAATGCAATACTGGGAGGATGAGAGGCAATGAATTAAACATTTAAAATGCTGGACAAAGTGTGGGATGAAAGAGTTGGAAACTAAGGGGCTGGAAAATAAAATAAAAAACTCTAGGAATGTACGCCACAAAAGAAAGCCATAAACGCAGCGTGTGGGCTGCCAATTAAAAGTGCGAGAAGACTAAATTGCCCGACCGCAGTTCACTCCTGTGGCTCTATTTTTTGAATGGTGAAAGTTTGATCCTTTAAAACGTATTATTAGTTGTCTTGATTCCTAGCATATTCCCATTCTTTCCTAGACAGCATAAAATGGAATCCAAAGGAAAGAAAAGTGTTGTTGCCTAGCAAAAAAAAAATTTGAAAATAATTTATTTGTATGGGAATTCCAGAAATTTTTAAATTGAAATGTGTGAACTAATAAATTTTGTGATAATATTACATGAGCAAAGATAAAGTGCAAAACCATTAAAATCATCCCATTAAATATTGGGATCCAAACTCATTGGTTGATTTAGCTTTTTTTTTCGTTGAATCGGTTACTTTTTACTATTAAGTAAAGCGAATTGCAATTTGCAATCCGAGAACCAATACAACCAAAAGGGCTGCCATTGTGGCCACTCTGCAGAAAAGAACTATACAATAGCTAAAACTATCACCCCACGTTTCCTACATCACCAAATTAAACCTACTACATGATTCTCAACAATCTCAACCCCTGCAGAGTCTGAGCATCTCGATCCAGCTCATTATGGTATCGCCTACATCTTTCCTGCCAAATGTAAGTGATCATCATGCACCATTTAACACTACAAAAATGACAGACAGTTGTGACGAAAACCTATAGACAACACTGTTTTTTCGTCAGAAATAAGCATCATTTCCAACGAAATAGACATTTTGTTGAAATTTTATTATAATTTATGACCAAGAAATGTCTGCGTCGTAAATAATTATAAAACTCGTCGGAAATAATAATTTAGCCAAATTTGAGGAATCGTGGGTCACTATCTGTGACGAAACGTGTCATGTCATCGAAAATCACTACAACAAAACTTGGTTTTAGAGACAAATAATTAGAAGCAATTGTTTTATTAGTCTCTAAATGTAATCTTTAGGAGCAAATATATTATTTGACTCAATAACTTTTATTATTTGTCTATGTTTCATTAAAATCTAATGATAATTTATATAGATTTCGTAAAAATAATAGCTTTAGAGGAAATTATCCTATTTGCGGCTATCGAACATATAAATTATAGATACAGAAGCAAATCTATAAGCTTTTAGACGCAATTACAAATACCACATATAAAGTACATATCTAATTACTTTTAGAGAACACTCCAGGATGGCCGATCTTGAGAGAGAGATGAGAGAGAAATCTAGAGAGAGAGCCCGGGTGAGTGATCGGGAAAGGGGTAGAGCGTGTGAACCGTTTTCTTCTTGCAGGTACACAGCGCTGAGTCGGGATTCAGGTGGACACTGCTTCTTGGGTTCTCTTCAGTACAGGTCGGAGGAATTTCGGTTCAGGCAAGGCAGCGAGTTCAGAACTGTTGTCATTGAGGACTATGTTACGAGAAAGAAGGCATTTGTCAGAATTATTGTTGCGGTAAATGGTCGTCGGAATAGGTTTGTATACTTAGAACCCCCTCAAGAGGAGTGGCTTGGTAACTCGCTCCGAGAAATCTCGCGGAAAGGGTGGGATATGAAGACAAACCGCCAGAAGAAGGGATCAACTCGCATCATTCAAATTGCCAGGCTTGCTTGTCGGAAAGGAAACTTCATCAAAATATCGGAAAGGCAGATCAATGGATATTTGTCTTTCATCCTCATCCCCTTTGCCCCAAGTGAATGGGAAGGAATGATCGTTAGACTCTGCCGACCAACAACCAAAGTAACCATGAGTAACCGCATCATGCGTAGCGCTTGGGTGGCGCAGGGTAAATCCTTCGCAGACGCTGTCAAGTTGGGGTTCCCTTCGGAGCAGGGGAAAAGCATCATCAAATCTCATAAATCTCAGGCTTTTATGGTGGTGGAGGAAAACGGAGTCAATAATAGGTTGCAATTCCTGGATCAGTGCCTAATGATAAGCTTCTTCGATAGCCAGAACCTGGGGATCCCGTCCTCTTTGACCGAAGATTTTGTAGCATGGGCAAGAGAGCGGTGGGGTTTATCAGACGGATCAGTGTTTTCTAACAGGGCGGGGGACCTCTGGTATTTAATATGTGATTCTCTCTCTGAAGCTATTAGGGTTCAAGAAGACGGTCATGCAAAGTTTCGGGAATGGAACGTTCTGCTGCGATTCTGGAAAGAGGACGACGGGCGCTGATTTGCCCCCCCCCCCCCTGTGGTCTGCAGTGGATCATGTTATTCGGAGTTCCGCCATTCCTCCGTTCATGGGATGTCCTGGAAAACATTGGGCGAATCTGTGGTGATTTCGTTGACGTTGATCACGGCTCGTGGTCGGACCTGTGCGTCCGCGTCAAGGTTAGACCAAAAAAGAAGGTTCCAACGTCGCTGCCGCTAAGATTTGGGACAACGGTGTTTATCGTCAAAATTCTGCCGGAGCCGGAAGTGGTCGGCCCGATGGCGGATCTGAACCGTCGCCGCCTTATGGACAAGGTCTTTGAATCCTGCCTGGCTGGGAAGTCGATCAATGATGACAGCTCACGAACTCCGAGCACTTTGGACTGCGCCACAACCTCGAGGTTATCCCGCGACGCCTCAGTTTTCCCTGGCCCATTAATCCGCAAGCATGCGCCGCTGTTTTCTGATCCCCATGCTGCACAGGCAATTAATGCGAAGTTGAAACGGGTTTGGATCCGCAAAGCAGGCCCACTGCCCAAACCTAATTCCCTCTCTTCCCCCTGTCCGGACCTTAGCCCACCCAACACCCCTTGTACCTCTTTATTTAAGCCCACCATTCCCAGCCCACCTCCCATCCTAGCCACCTCCTCTCTTTCCCTTGGGCCGGCCCACCATACCCAGCCTGCATTATCCCCCCCTGACCCACACCCGAGACCCAACCCCTCCCTCATACTGCACAATGTATCTGCCTACTCCCCAACTCTTATCGCCGATGCAGCCCTTACCATCCTCTCACTTTCTATCCCCCCTTCAATCACTCCCCATTTTCCGCTATCCCTTCTCTTCCCTAATCTTTCCCTCATCCCGGCTTCCTTCCCACCACTCCCACCAACTTCCTTCCTAACCCCTCCAAATAATCCACTTCCCCATACCGACTGGTCCTCTGCAAACCCACAGCCCGATCCTCTCAACCCTCCGTCACCTAACCTTGACCCTGATTTCCACAATTTCTCCCTTTCTGACTCACCTGATACCTCGGAACCAGAACAATTAGCCATTATCCCGTTTAACCCCCTCAGTACCGAGTACCTCGAAGTCTGGCGCAGTGAACAGGATTGCATTAAGTTGATTGAACAAAGTCTGAAGATTTGCGATATTCTCAAGCTATCGGACTCCGTCTCTTCTGAAAACGCGAAGCAGAAGGTTGCTCTCATTGCGACCGATTCTCAGCGCAAGAGAAAGAGGGAAGCGAGATCAAAGCTGGATATGGAACTTAGACGTCTCGGCCTTAATCATCCTCCCCCAACACCCAGGGCTCGAAGCCGCTCAGCTCACACAAATTAGGTGTGTGGTCCTTCTCACTGCCGTTGGCGATTGTGATCATGCCTCACTCTTTCATTGCCTGGAATGTGCGTGGGTTGGGAAACCCAAATAAGAGAGCAAAAATTAAGCGGCTTCTGAAGAGATGGAGACCTTCTATAGTGGGTCTCACGGAAACTAAATGGCAAAAGTGCGACAGAAATCTGATCTCATCAATTAGTGGTAGCAAATCCAGTGATTGGGTTTCCAAAGACTCTGTTGGAGCTAGCGGTGGCATTGCTATTTTTTGGGATTCTACCATTTACAGGGTCTTGACAGTCTGGGAAGGCAGATTCTCCTTAGCTGTTCGGTTGAAGGTAATTGAATCCGAAGACATCATCTCCTTCGTAGTCGTTTATGGCCCTCAGGAAAAGAAGGAAAAATTAGAATTCCTCAAGGAAATCGAGTCAGTCTGCAGAGAATACTTGGCCGCATTGTGTATAATTGGTGATTTCAATCTTGTCAGATCAGAGAAAGATTTCATAGGGTGCCCTAGAGACTTGGAGATCATGAATGAATTTAACAGTCTGATTAATAGATGCAATTTGGTGGATATTCCATTACAAGGTGGCGGGTTAACGTGGAGGAGAGACTTCTGCGTCACGAATTGACAGAGCGCTCATTAATTCAAGTTTTGAAGACTTGCTATCCACGGAGACCCTGACCACTCTTGATCGTGTGGAGTCGGACCATAATCCGATCCGTCTACAGTGGGGTTCAATTGAACGGTTCAGCCATCCCTGGCGGTTTGAAAACATGTGGTTGCAAGAAGAATCTTTTTTGCAGAACTTGGTGGGGTGGTGGAGCATCCCAGTCAATGGGACTAGCTATTTGTTCAGATTCGGACAAAAAAGCAGGCAAACCAAACTAATGATCAAGCAATGGAACCGAGACCATTTTGGGAAAGTTGAGAGGCGTATCGCGGATATTCTGTTGAGGATTAAAATTATTGATGATGCTGAAGAATCTGAACAGCTTAATCCGTTGTTATTGTCTGAAAGAGCTATTCTCAAATGCGAGCTTGAGAAGGTCTTAATCATGGAAGAGATCTTCTGGAGACAACGTTCGAGAGAAATATGGCTAAAGGTGGGAGATAAGAATACTGGATTCTTCAATATAATTGCTAAAGTAAATAAGAGGAAAAGCAGAATTAAGAGGTTGGTGATTGAGGGCAGGGTATCGGATGATGTGAATGAGATCAAAATCGCTTTCCATAACCACTTCTCTGCCAAGTTTGTAGAAGGGGAAGAGGATAGACCTTTTCCAGCCAGGTACAGGGACTGTTTGCTCACTCCTGTGGATAATGAAGACTTGGTGAAACCATTTTCGGAGTTGGAAGTCTGGCAAGCAATTAGGCAGAGTAACGGGAGTAAAGCTTCGGGGCCGGATGGTTACTCGTTTGAGTTCTACAAGAAAGCTTGGGATATCATTAAATGCGATTTACTGAAGGCATTCGATGATTTTTTCCTGGCTGGCACCCTTCCGCAATCGACAGCTCATGCCTTCATTTGTTTATTGCCCAAAAGGGATCCCTTCGAGACGGTATCTGATTTCCGCCCGATTAGCCTACTTGGAAGTCTAAATAAGGTCATTACAAAGGTTTTATTCAACCGCCTTCTGCCTCATATGAACACACTAATTTCTGACTACCAGTTCACAGGAAAAAGAGGCAGAGTGATCCATGAATCTTGTTTGATTGCCAACGAAGTGATTGATAGCCGTAGAAGAAGTGGAAAACCGGGGGCTGTTATCAAACTAGACATCGAAAAGGCCTTCGATTCTATCAGCTGGAAGAGCATATTGAAATCATTAACTCATTTGGGTTTGCACTCGAGGTTCCGGAAATGGCTGGAAGGACTACTGTCATCCTCAAGGCTCTCAATCCTTGTCAATGGTGAATCTACCGGTTTCTTTGGAATGACTCGTGGTGTCAAACAAGGGGACCCTCTCTCGCCCTTCTTATTTAACATCGGCATGGACATATTATCTTTTATTCTCTGTGAAATAAGGAAAGAAGGGCTCATCACGGGTTTCTATATCAATGAAGAGAGTCGTATTGGAGAGGTTACACATCTACTATATGCAGATGATGCTATATTATTCTGTGAAGCAAATGAAGCCGAGGTCCGCAACTTACTGGCTGCCCTGATATGTTTCCAAGCAATAACTGGCCTACAAATAAATCTTGAGAAGTCGAGAATTTTCCCGGTGGGGGAGGTTGCTAATATTGAAAGATTGGTCGAAATCTTCTGCTGTGATTGGGCTTTCTTGCCAACTACTTATCTTGGGCTGCCTCTCGGGTGTCAATCTCCACCCACTGCACACTGGAACAACATTGTGGCTAAAACTCAGTCAAGACTAGAGGGATGGAAAGGGAAATTTCTATCGCCGGGAGGGAGAATTGTACTTATCAACGCAGTGCTTGCAAGCCAGAGTAACTACATAAGCTCGTTGTTCCTAATCCCCAAGAACATCATCAACTCTTTGGAGAAAATTGAAAGGGATTTCCTTTGGTCTGGTACACGAGAAAGGGAGAAGCTACATCTTGTGTCCTGGGAACTTTGTAAAACGGCCAAGAACAGGGGAGGTTTGGGTATTCGTGATTTGGAGATAAATAACCGAGCTCTCCTACTCAAATGGCACTGGAGATTTGCGACTGAAAGAGGATCTTGGTGGAGGGAGATGATTGTTGCCAAATTCCCTAATCAACAGTCTGAATGGTTCTCGGGCAGGTCATCGGGCAGCCTTGGAGGCAGTCTATGGGCCAGGATTGTCAAGCTGCAGCCTGATTTCTGGAAACTTACTCGAATAGAGCATAGTCAAGGGTTTTGGACTTCGTTCTAGTTTGATACCTGGATCGAGGGCATCCGACTGGCTGAAGAATTCCCGAGAGTTGTAGCTGCTGCCGAATCCCCGAACTCCACCGTTGCGGAATACCTTTCCTTTTCTGAGAGAAACTGTCAATGGGATATTCCATTGACTCATTCACTTCGGGGTGGGGCTGAAAGAGAGAGGGTGAGGTTATTTGAAACACTTAACTCTATTCCATATCAAAACTTTTTTGCAGGACCTGAAAGACCAAGGTTGCTCCCGTCCCCTACAGCTGGTTTTAGCGTTCATTCGGCATATGATCACTTAGCTGCGGAAAGATATCTGGGAATCTCGGAGTTTCCTTCAAAGGTGATTTGGCTTAGCATCATACTGAGTAAGATTTGCATCTTCCTATGGCTGGTCTTCCACAAGCGAATCCTCACCATTGACAACTTGAAGAAGAAAGGCTTTTACATCCCGAATCGGTGTGTCCTTTGCAAGAAGGAAGAAGAGTCCCCGAATCACATCTTCATCACTTGCACTTTCTCAAATCAGGTTTGGGGCAGGCTAAAATGCTTTGTTAAATTGGAAGGAAGTGCTGTAGTGAGTCTGGATATTTCAGAAAGAATCAGACTTTGGTCGCGTTCGAATCCGATAAATCCAGCTCAGTGGTGTTCAAGAGTAGTCCTACATGCTTTCTGCTGGTGTGTTTGGCTGGAAAGAAACAATAGGATATTCAATGACCAAGAAAGGCACGTTCTTGCACTTGTAATGAAGATTGGATACACTATTTTTTCGTGGTTGATGGCAGCAAGGAAGGTTGACAAAGATATTGCAGAAGCATGGATCAAAGAAATGAAGAAGATGTTGTTCCCACATAATCCGCAGCAGCAGACTTCGAATTCTCATTCACAGCCTCATGAGGAAGAATCATAGGCCTCTGGTTTTTGGTTTTTTTGGGTTTTTGGCTTCCTGATCTTTCAGGTTGGCTTTTGTGTTTGCTCTGTAAGCGTGTCGAGCACTGCCCCCCCCCCCCCTGTTTGCTATCTGCTTCTGTTTGATACGAACTGTCCTGCTTTGTTAGGTGGGTTGGCGGGGGGGGGGGGGGGGGGTTCCAATTTTCTTTTTTGCGAGCTAGTGTTCTCTGCTGGTTTGGCGTTGAGCAGGGGTGGGTGGATTCTTCTATTTTCCCCCTTTGCCCCTGTCGGTTTTTGTTTTATTTCTGACCATGGAGCTGTGTTTTGGCTTCTGTGGTCTTGTCCTTGTATTATTCTTTGTTTTCAATTAATATATATCACCATTAACAAAAAAAAAATTACTTTTAGAGACAAATACAAGTGGGCTACATATTTAATAACTTTTAAAGATACATATAAGTGATTTTGCATGTAGACATGCTAATATAGTTTTTTCTATTTTTGAAATCATTATTTATTTATTTTTTTCATATAAAACGAAGAGATGATGGTTGCAAGTTGCAACCCTAGCCACTCTCCACTCCCTTCGCCTCCTCATCTCCTGTCCTCTCCTCTTCCCTCTCACCTTCTTCCAAGCCTCTACATCTAACGAACATAAGGAGAAAATTGGAAACCAAATTCATCCTCCTCCTTCTATCTTCTCTTATTATATGTTTCAGTTCTCTCGTCCTCTTCGGAATGAGCCTCGACAAGAAAGAAGAAGAAAGCGAATCCAGGTTTTCTCTTCCCTATCTTCCACCGCCGTCCACCAGAACCCGATAGGAGCATGTAGGGCTGCAAACGAGCTAAGTTGAGTCGAGTTTTTGCTTAGTTTGAGATCGACTCGTTCATAAAATTTTCAGCTCGAGCTCGGCTCAAACTCAGAATTTTAATAATCCAGCTCGAGCTCGACTCGGTAGAGCTCGATAAATGCGCATTAACACAGTTTGTCAAGCTGAGTATAAGCTCCGCTCAAGATAAGCTCGATTTGAAATCATTCTTGCGGAAACTTTAGAAACTATAAATAACAACTAACTTCCATACACATCCGTATTAACAAGATAATGTTAATGTTCAGAAGAGTAATTAATCATTCCACAAGTTCTAAACAGCCCAGCTCGCGAGCTTAGCTCAACAAGCCACCAAGTCAAGCTAGCTCAAAGATTGATGAAATCGTCAAAAAAATTGGAGCGTGAAATGCAATGAAGTACAATTACATCTATGCGTCGGCGGTAGCAAAATGAATATTAATATTATCAATTAGAATAATTTATGGTTGGCGTGGTTGGACTTAGACCAATAAAATGAAGTATCAAGGCTCCGTTTAGAAAAAAAACCAATTACTAATATCTATCCATATTAAGGAAGTTGTAGCAAAAAGATGCGGTATTGGGGGCATTTGCCCTATATGTGCAAATGCTTATCAACCTGAGCATCGTCTAGCTCAAGCTTGGGTCGCGAACCAGCTTATTAAATAATGAGTCGAGTGTCGAACGAGTTTTTCCCGATTCGAACGTCGAGTTGCTCGCGAGCAGTTTGGCTCAGCACATGTTATGCAAGCTTCTTTTCTTTCAATATTATTTCCTTTACTTTGAATTTTGATTATTCTTGTTTTCGATATCTTTTAATGAGTTTTGGTTTTGGACGAGTGAAAAGTATAGGTGTCAATCGGGCGGGTTCGGGCGGTTTCGGGCTGGGTTCAATCGGGTTCGGGTTCGAACGGGTTGCGGGTTCATCGGGTTGCGGGTTCATCGGGTTCGGGTTCATCGGGTTCGGGTTCAAACGGGTTGCGGGTTAGTCTGGTTGCGGGTTCATCGGGTTCGGATTCAATCGGGTTGCGGGCAAATCGGGTTGCAGGTTCATCGGGTTTTGGGTCGGGCGGGTTGCGGGTGGGTCGGGTTTCGGGTTGTTCGGGCCAGCGCATCAAATAACTTAACTCATTACTCATTACCAACTTACACATTTTATTGCACTAATTTAAAATATTTTCTCAACTTTTTAACCAATTTATTTCTACCTCGTATATATATACTTTATTTTTTTGAACAAAACTAGTCAAAATGTTAAATCAATTTGTATGACTTGCAAACTTGTTATGTAATTAATCATAATTGGTAAAGTATTATAACTAATAGTAATGGTGATATCAATATTTGCAACCAAAAGACACCGTTAATTGTTTATTTGATATTTTAGTATTAATTCAATAGTAATTGGATTAAAGTATCTCGTTTAGTATAACCATGCAAATCTGGTATTTGGCGTGTGGTATTTGGAAAAAGCATAGTGATAAAAGGAGTTATTTCAAAATAACTCATTGCCCAAATAACTTTAGTAAACTGTTGCCAAACGAGTTATTTGTAAAATTGTTCGAATTATCCTAAAATTTGAACCATTAAAGATTAGCTATCAAATTTAGTAAAATTATTGTGACTTCAATCATAACTTACTCAATAGCATATATCCTATACACTTAGCTTTACCCTCAATCAACAATATATATTAAGTTAGTATATGTTGTTGATTGTATACCCTAAACCATCAATACATTATACACTAACCACATAACCTATACCCTAACCATATGTCATTGAGTTGTGATTTTGCTAGTATAGTTAATTTAAAAGTGAAATTCATACTTTGATTTTCAAAACATAGATAAAAAGTGATATTTGCTAATTGTTATACCCTAACCATATATTCTATACTTTACACCACATACCTTGTACCCTAACCACATACCATAAACATAAATTAAAAAGGGATCTCCTGCCGTTAAAGACTTCAAATGACTTCAAGTGAACATATGTTAATAAAAAAAACTTAGAACCGTCAAAACCATCAATATCTTATACCCTAACCATATACACCCTAAACCATATGTACATTATACCTTATACTCTAACCATATACTTTATATCCTAAACAACGAACCGTCAAAGATTACTTATCAAGTTTAGTATAAATTGTTGTAACTAATGGTTAATTTATTTATTAGCCCATAAAAAATTACATACATATATACATATTAGCCTTCAAAGCATATAAGAATAATTTTAACTAGTCATGCCCTCCATATAAAAGTTAAAGATTCATATTTCAAAAGCTAAAATTATGAAAAACCAAAAAATTGAAAACACCAAATTTGTTTCCTTCTTTCTTTTCACAAAAATACTAAAACGTTCCCTCCTTCTTTCTCTTTCCATACATTAGAAAAACTCAATTTTCCCTCCTCTTTCTCTTCCATAAAATTGAAAGAACCAAATTACCCTCTTCTTTCCTTCTACAAAAAGTTGAAAAGTCAAAAGTTTCCCTCCTTATTTCTCTTTCATAATCAAAAGAATCAACTTTTCCATTTCTTTCTCTTTCCAAATATCAAAACCACCAAAATTCCCACTTGTTTCTTTTCTAAAAAATTCAAAGAATCAAATTTCCCTCTTCTTTCTCTTCCCAAAAACTTGAATACACCAAAATTTCCCTCTTCTTTTAAAAACATCAAATTACCAAATACATTACTTTACTTTATTTATATTTAATTGATAATTTTATTGCATAGTTAAATTAACCAAAATTTTAATTTATATATTATATTAATATTGTCATGATCTCAAGTGACCTTCATGTTTCAATTTTTGTAATTTTCTTAAAATACGTAATATCAAATGAGTTTCATATTTTTATAATTTCTTATACGAAATGAAAAAATAATTTTACTTAAATTTAGAATGAAAAACTTTATTTTGAAAAACTATGTATTGTATATTTTTATAATTATTCAAGTGGATTAGATGAAATTCGGGTTGAGTCGGTCGGGTTACGGGTTAGTCGGGTTCGGATCAATCGGGTTCGGGTTAATCGGGTTGCGGGTCAGTTGGGTTGCGGGTCAATCGGGTTCGGGTTAATCGGGTTGCGGGTTAGTTGGGTTGCGGGTCGGGCGGGTTATGGGTTGTTGACTTTTAGTCAATTCGGATTGCGGTTGGGTTGCCGGTTGGATTGATCGGGCGGGTTAATCGGGTCGGGCTATGTTTTGACACCTATAGTGAAAAGAGGCATTCGCCGGACACTTTGAATTTCGCTAATGGCGAGGGAACCAACCCATCGACGAGTTTTCTTTTTGGTGAGTTTTAGGCTTTCTAGGTTTGTATTGCATTTACAGATTGTAGGTCTTAATTGAGTTTTTTTTTTTTTTTTTTTGTGTGGTGGTTTGATATTTTGGTCACGGAAGAAGAAGGAGAAGAACGACGATTTGGAGGAGATCTGGTTGCTGTCCCGCCGGTCCGTCGGTGATAATCGTGTCACGAGCATCGGGTGGAGGATTAGCGTAGTAAATATAATGAGCACTTCTACTATGCTATATAGTATTGGTGCTTTAATGTACAACGTGAAGTTGTATCATAACATTAAATGTACAAGTTTAGGTTGTACCATAATGAAATTTGTATCATTATGTTATGGTACAACTTTACAACTTGATGTTGTACCATCACATAAGGTACAAGTTTAAGTTGTACCATAAAAGAATTTGTACAAAAAGTATAGGTACAATCTGAAGTTGTACCATAACATTAAATGTACAATTTTAAGTTGTGCCATAAAAGTAAAAACCTATAGCATCAATGCTATATAGCATTGTAAAATTCCTCAAATATAATAAAATCCATGTATTCTTTTTGTATACTCAAGCGAATTTGTTTTTTTATGCGCAGTATGCATGTATTTTAAGAATAAATGTATTAAAAATCTATTAACGAAATTTGATATTTTCATTACACTTTTATAAGAGGGTTATACATTTTCCATGAAACAAAATTGTCATATCGATGTAAAATTAAAATTGAATCAAAACTATTAAAATTGAAATATAATCAAAATTATTTGCTTCCGAAACAAATATTTATGTTTCTGTAACTTCTTTTAGAAACAAATATAATTGTCTTGAAATCTACTTATAGGAGTAAAAATATTTGTCTCTAAAATCAAATAAGAAGAGAAAAGATAGCCTTCTTAAGTGGAATTGAAATCAAAAAGATTTGACTCAAATTCCTCAATTAGAAACAAATATTATTTGCATCTATATTTGCTTCTAAAAGGAATTAGAGACAGAAGCGTCTGATACAAATAATCTATTTGTTTCAAAAGATATACAGAAACAGATAAACGACTTTTAGATGCAAATAAATTTTGTCTCTATTTCCAGGTTTTCTTGTAGTGAATAATTATTATTACTAACACGGTTTAAAATGGCGTCAGTAATATATGTTTTTTTCGATTCCTCATAAAAGGTCGTGGGAATAATTGAGTTTTTTTAACGAACCACCTCCATTGCCAGAAATGTCTTGTTGGAAATAATATAATTTATGAGAGATAGCTTGCTCCATAAGAAAAACTCTACATTTTTTGCCCATCAAATATTGTCAGAAAAAAATTGGTCGTTATAAATTTACATTGCAATGCATCAGTAGAATTGTCATAATGACCATAGTATTCTTGACAAGAAATATACATTTGAAGGAGAAAATGTATCAAATATAATTTTTTATGATCAAACTATTGGTCATCAGAAATAACATGTTAAGATTACCAATGTTTTAGTTAGCGGTGACATTTCCTTACGGAAAAAAATTCGATTGAAAATAATGTATAATGTACAAAAAAAATCATATATGATTGGAGTATTGAACCAATATGAGTTTACAATGTTAAATACACATCAATTGCAATATCATACTGTTTGTGAAATTTTATGATTTTGTTACTATTTACACAGCAAGGAAATCGAACCAACCATCTTAAGATTATAAAGTTGATTTCATGCCAATTAAACTATCTTATTTTTTTGAACTTTCATTCTACCATTACTATTTAGTAATATTTTAAAAAGGATATCAAATTTTCTAATATTATTATAACCGGCTCGGACCCCAACCATCAATTTTTGTACTTTTTCACCATTTTATTCTTCTTATATTAAAAAAAACTCCCTTACCAAGAAAGAATTGAACCTATGTCCTCTGAATGAAAACAAACTACTTAACTAATTAGGCTACACAAAATTTATGTTAACACTTAATCAATGTCCATTTTAATTAGTTTAACGTGAGTTTATGACTTACTCACACTATCTTATCTTTTAATAGGATTATAATCTTCAATTGGCTTAATTGATTCTTAGGTTTCTTGTTAAATTAATATTAATCTAAATACATTTAAACAATCAAGCGCCAAACAAAATTCAATCACTGCCTATAACCAATAATAATACCGCCACTATTTAACTTTAACAAATGCCACTTTTTTCGGTAATTAGCGATTTCATTAAGCTTTTCTCTTTAGCTGTAAACCCAGCTTAAGAGTCGAAAAAAATACACTTAGCCTAAGCCAATACAGATCAATATACTGAGAAGTGTTCTAAAAAAGAAGACTAGAGTAATCTGAACCCTTCAACCATGAACCAAATTCTGGCTTTCCACAACAGTACATATTGATCTCTACTCATAAGTGTTCTGCTAACTGGGAAAATGACTTTGACTGCCCCCCCCCCCCCCCCCCCCCCCCCCCCCCCCATAGCATCTTCTGCATCTCTCTTTCCATATGTAGGACACACAACAGCACCATAGTACCAACTCGACACAACCACTGTTCCCTCCTTTCCTCGCACTGCTGCATATCAGCTGCAACATATCGTCCCAGCTGCTAGACAAAGCGACACGTTGCTGCATTAAACATTTAACAAACTCCACAGAATATCTGTAGTGACAAAAAAGATGCTCACGAGTCTCAGTGCCATTTTTACAGAGAACACACTGCTCTTCCTGCAAGACACTCCAGTGTTTCAATTTGTCTTTAGTAGCTATTCGATCCAAGATAATAAGCCAAGCCACCACACGATTTTTAGGTATAACAAACCTGTTCCAGATAACCTTCCACCAAGCAACCACTGGCCGTTTAGGCCTGCTAGTTTGCCAAATAGTGGATACTGAGAATTTGTTTATCTGCTTCCCCTGCCATGTTACTCTTCCCATTGAATCAACATCCATTCTAAACTGAACCCAGGACCTTAACTTCAGCAGCTGCTTCCATATCCAAGAACCACTTGAGTTGTTATTTACCTGCCAGATAGACTTCCCTCGAATCCTGTATTTGTGAATCCAGGCCACCCAGAAACTACCCCCTTGTATGAGGAGCAGCCAGAGTAGCCTAGAGACACAGGCAACATTCCAAGTGCGTAAATCCTTCATCCCTAAAACCTCCTTCTTTCTTAGGCACAGCCAGATTCTCCCATACCACTTTAGCTCTACCAATTCCACCCCCATGCCACAAAAAATCAGCACACACCTTCTGAATTGCCTTAATCATCTTCTTAGGAAAAACAAAGATGGCCATCCAGTAATTGACAATGGAATACAATACAGAATCAATTAGTTGGAGCTTCCCTGCATATGACAACTTCTTAGCTCTCCATCCTCGAATACAGCTAGTGAGCTTGTCAACTAAAATTGAACACTCCCTACTAGTCAGTTTTCCAGCAATCAATGGAAGTCGAAAATAACGCACAGGCAGGTGACCCTCTTTAAACCTTGATACCCTTATAGCATTTTGTTTAAACTGATTTGCCTGTCCCCCAAAAAAGACTTCACACTTTTCTGGGTTACATTGAAGGCCTGATAGCTTATAAAAGTCATCCAATATTTGTCGAACTCTACTAAGGGCCATTGCTGACCCTTCTGTGAAGATAAGAAGATCATATGCGAAAACAAGGTGGGTCAGACCAATAGCTTTACACTGAGGGTGGAAAGGCAACACATGGCTCCCTGCAGCCCTGTCCAGCATACAAGAGAGTGGTTCCATGGCAATGGTGAAGAGATAGGGGGAGATTGGATCCCCCTCTCTCACCCCTTTAGCAGCTTGAAAGAAACCAAATAAACTCCCATGTGTTGTGATACTAAAATAGGCAGATGACAGACATGTTCTTATCCAATGACAAAAAACTGAGGGAAATCCCACCTTCACCATCACACACATCAGGAACTCCCAATTAACTGAATCAAAAGCCTTTTTAAGGTCTACTTTCACAGCCCCTCTAGAGGATATGTATTTCCTATTATATTTCTGCACTATCTCTTGTGCCATGAGAATATTTTCAATTATGTTTCTCCCTTGTATAAATGCTGACTGATTCCTACTAATGATAGAAGGTAGAACCTTTTTTAGTCTGTTGGCAATCACTTTAGAAATAATTTTATAGAGGACATTGATGCAGGCTATGGGGCGATAGGCAGAGAGATTATCTGCATTTGGTATCTTAGGGATGAGAGTTAGAGATGTTGAATTCATACCTCTAGGTAGCTGCCCTGAAGTAAAGAAATACTGAATCCCTTGAGTGATTTCTGATCCCACCAAACCCCAACATTGTTGAAAGAAAGCAGCATTCCATCCATCCGCCCCTGGAGATTTTGATGGATCCATTTCAAACAGTGCTGATTTAACTTCTTGAGCAGTGACTCTGTCACATAAGAGTTTCTGATCTTCCGTGGTTAACCTACTTCTTATACAGCTTTCAAGAAAGTTGCTATCAACCATAACTTCTGAATTGATCACCCCTAACAACTTTTTATAGAAACAAACAGCTTCATCCGCAATGTCTTGTACCTCTGTTATTTCCTCCACACTAGAAGCAATAAGTTTCCTTATTTGCTTCTTTGAAGTTCGAATTTTAACAGAGGAATGGAAATGAGAAGAATTAGTATCTCCCAATCCCAGCCAGCTGATACGAGATTTATGTTTATAAAACGCCTCCTCATCTGAAGCCAAGTGAAGAAATTCCTTAGTGAGCTCATTGACCTCTTCAAATAGGTCCTCTGTGGGATGCTCTAAAGCTTGCAATTGCTTAGCCTTTAGTGCTTCTTTTTTCTCCTTGACTCTTTTGGAAATATCCGAATATTCTTCCTTATTTAGCTTCCACAGTTCATCCTTGAGAGAGACCAACTTCTTCCTAACTCCAAACAAACCCGAATGAGATGAGCCTTGCCAACATTTATTTAGAATATCAGGAAAGGAGGGATGCTCCATCCACATGTCATAAAACCGAAAAGGTTTGGGTAAGCTCTTGGTTGGGACATGGGGATGAATTAGAATCCCACAGTGGTCAGAGAAATTAGGAGGAATAAACTCCACTACACAGTCAGAGAAATGTTCAAACTAGTCCACATTCACCATCAGTCTGTCAAGCTTTCTAGCAATGAACCGAGTTTGATGCTTCAGCAGGACATAGAATAGCATTGAAGTCCCCTCCAATCATCTAGGGAAACCCTTTCACCTTCCACTGGACCATAGCTCTTTAAGTCAGTAACCTATCCTTTTCATCATTCGAACCATAAACAGCAGTAAAGAAGAATTGAGTTCCCTTCTGTCCTGCCACTAAACAGTGAATAAAATTCTCATCCTCTTTCAGCACTTGCACCTTCATATCATCACTCCACCCAATCCATATGAGAGTAGTCATCTATGAGGAGTAGCCACCTTAGTGGCTCCCTTACTTCTAAGCCCCTCGCGCCCACCTTGTTTCTTCTGAGGAGCCTGCAATTTGATGTCCCTTCCATAAAGCAGATCAAACGCATTAGAGTGCAAAATAGTTGCAGATTTCCTGGGAACAGACTTCGATTTAGCACCATTAATGACTTTGTTAAACTCCTCCTGTGAAGGAAGCGCACTTGGAGTGACTGGAGGTGTGGAATCAACAACTACTTCTTTACCCTTCTCAGACACTCCCCCACCCCCCCCACCCCCGCTAGCTGTCTGAACAGAAACCACATCTTTCTCAAGACTAATCACCTCTTGTAATGGAGCAATCTGGAGTTTCTTTAGTCTCCAAACTCTCTTAGTTGGAACTCCCGTAGGAGGCATCGAACAATCGTGACCAAAGACACCACAGGTCGCGCAACAGTGGGGTAAGCCACAATATTCAACCCCAATATACATCTCCTCCATATCATTAGGGGTAATACTGATCTTGGTTACCAAAGGCTTCTTGGCATTAACCTCAACACATACCTTTACTGCTCCTATCTTCTTCCTCTGGGACACCGAATGATCCATACACATAGGTTTACCAATTGAACTCGCGATTCTCCCTAGCCCCTCTCGTAAAGCTAGCTCAGCAGGAATACCTGTTAAGTTGACCCACACTGGAATGGCCGAATTGTTTATCTACAGCACTCTGATTCCCGGAACCCAACACCTCAGACATATAATTTTCTCCTTGTATTGCCATGGCCCTCTCTCGAACACCCAGGGACAAGTCGATTCCAATGGAAATTGAAAGAGCACCAGTCTATCTTCCAGCATAGAGACCTTCACTTCACCTTCCTTATCCCAAATCCAGTTAGCCCAGAAGCGGAGAGCCGAGATTGAAGGAGGATCGACAAGAAATTTCCCAACCAAGCTGTTTAACTTCGTTTAGCGACACTTTTTTACTTTGAAACTTGAAAGCGAGCGCCTGTTGATAATTTATAGCGCCTTTTGTCCTTTCACGAAAATTATTCCACCAATATTAATTTTTTGCATAAATTCTATCATGTTAAACCAATATAATACTATGTATAGTTTTATTTCTACTGAGGTATTATATAATCTTATTAATGCATAACTTGACTAATTCGAAATTTGGTTGACTTGTAACCTAATTAATCAAATTTGATTGATCCAAAACTCTATTGACTCACAATCCAAATCAAGTACAATTTGTACTATATTGAAGCATGTATAAATACAAGTTAAATTTATATGATAAGGTATATGTATAATTACAACTTAACCAATGAGGTGTAGGTACAAGTTCAATAGATCTTTTACCATACAGTATACGTATAATTCAATTTGACCATTAAGGTATAATTAGTGCTTACCCATAGTTTAATTGAACCTTTACTATAATGTATATTTACAACCTCAATTTGACCATTGGTGTATAGGTACAAGTTCAATTTGTCCATTAAGGTATACATACAATTTTAATTGAAAATTTACCATAAGGTATCTGTACAAGTTCAATTTGACCATTAAGATATATATACAAGCTCAATTTGATCATTAGTGTATAGGTACAAGTTCAGTTTGACCATTACGGTATATGTACAAGCTCAATTTGATCATTAATATATAACCATTTTTATTATCATAATTGTAACCTCAACTTCTACCCTCTATACATTGCCCTTTTTAATATCATTATAACTTGTTGTTGCTATAACTTGAAGTCTGTTAACAGAAAGTCGATTGGGAGTCACTGGTCTCGTTGTCCCGTCAACAAGTCGGGGTTCAGGGGTAAGCACCCGGTTGAAGGGGTTCGATTACTTTTGAAGTCGGTTAAAACCAACACAATTTTTCAACTATTTATGTTGGTTAAGTTTTGAGTCGGTTATAAATAGGGGTGTGCAATGGTCCGATCCGTACTGGACCGCACCGACGTTAGGACTGGACCGTACCAAATCGAGTATAATGAGGTCAGGTCCTTGGTCCTACAAAGTTTATAAATATTGAATAAAATATGATCCAAATTTATTTTTGGACCCGATCGAGCCGGACCAAATGGATCAAATGCAATAATAGTCCGTTCCTTAGTCCTAAGATATCTTTCATTAATGAACCGCGGTTCATGAGTTAGATCCGGACCGAACTGCTGCACACACCTAGCTATAACCGACACCATTTATTAATTTATGTCTGTTTCATTTTAACTCTCAAAATTTTAATAGTGTAGCTGAGAATCCGTCCTGGTATGTTAAAAAGAATTCCCAACCCGGCTTTATTTTTTATTTATTTTGCCAAGGTTGTCAAACTGGGTTAAGTCATTGAGTCGATCAAGCAAGGGGTATGAGGTTTAATAGTCTGATCGGAGTCCAGCCGGTTTAAGCCAGTTTAGACGTTTTCTAAATATATATACAAATAAAGTACTAATTAAAGATTTAATAAGAAATGAAATCTATCTTATATGTATCTATTAAAAACTTATGGTCCACAAAATAAATCTACCTAACTTCCATGACCCACCCACCATCTCCCTTCCTTTGTTTCTCTTCCTCTCTCTCTCTCTCTCTCTCTCTCTCTCTCTCTCTCTCTCTCTCTCTCTCTCTCTCTCTCTCTCTCTCTCTCTCTCTATTTAGGGATTAGACCGAGGGGCTTTCTGAAGGCCGTTTTGAAGCTCGACTTAGCTCGGATCGAATCCAACCGGGGTCCGATAGGGGTTTAACAACCTTGTATTTTGCCCAAAAATTAGTGGGCGGGAGAAGAGAATGAATAGATGCCCTTTTTCTATAGGTAATTTTGTTTTAAGTTTACCAAACATTACCAAGCCTTTCATTTTTATAACCCTAGAGATAGAACTTCCATTCTCTCGTCTCTCTATGACCCTTCTCTCATCTCCCATCATCTTTTTTCCCTCTACCAAAAATCCAACCCTCCTGTAAAAAAAAAACCAAGAAACCCCTACCCTAATACACTGCCTCTCAAGTCTCTTCATCTTCCGCTGTCACTAGGGGTGGGCAACGGGAAACGGGAAACGAGTATTTGGGTATACCCATACCCGTCCCATTTTTTGCGAGTTACGGGTACCCAAATACCCGTTTTATAATTGCGGAACGAGACTTGGGATTGGTAATTTCAAAAGTGGGTACCCGTTTTACCCAATACAGTCCAGTTGACCCGAGCCCAGCGCCCCAGCTCAGCAGCCCGTGAGCCGAGCCCATGCGTCCAGGCCCATTTCCTCTATTAACTGATTCCGAGACTCGAAGTCGAATGGCTATCAGGCGATGGCGGATGGCCTGGCCCTCGCTTCGCTTATCTCGTCTCCCTCACTCAGCACTTGGCGGCGACAGGGGTAAGACCTAGAATCTACTGGCTAGAGCAAGACTAATCCCGCCGCCGGCCGCTCCTCTCCTCTGGATCTCCCTCGGAAGCAGACGACGAGATGAACGAATCATCAACTCCTCTCCTTGTCCTCTGGCTCTCTCTCTATTCCGAATCCACATTCCATCTTTCGACTTTCATTTTCCAACAGCCCACCCCGCCCCCCGACACAGACAAGGCGACAACTTCTCCTTCTCCCCCGACGCCGACAGCCTCCCGATAGCATCTGGATTGTTCAGTTCGTTTTGGGTAAGTTGGAACGATACTTACAATTAATTTTCGAGCTCCTTTTCAATCATATTCCTCCTGCTGAAAAGGAACACCGAGTCTGTAATCTGTATCTATCATTCAGAGTGCTTTGTTGAAAAGTCCCTCTAGGTCTTGCTCTAGGTATGCTCTGTTGAAACCAACCAATTTATCCTAACCTAGTTACCTTGAATTCTTCATAGTCTCTCAGCAATGATAAAAAAAAATATATGGATTAGTTTAGCATAAATTGAAACGGATAAATACAGAGGTAATGACTTGCATTATTTTTGCTAATACATAGGTTAGCAAGAGATAACCACAACATTGGCTTTTGCTTCTCTAGCTATCTATTATATTTGATTTTCATAGTGATTATTCACAGGTTATTTAATCTTCTTGCTTATCTCATGGTGATGTTTATTCCCAGGTTATGTTATCTTCGACGGCTAGTCAAGAGCATGTACCCGTCTCCGAAGTACCTCAAACTCAACAAGCAAGTGATGTTGTGGTTAATGAAGAACCATCGATTGGGTCGGATTCTAGAAAGAGGAAAGCATCTAGCCTCCATTCACCACATTGGGTTGGATTCACAGTATTATTTACTATAGAAGGAAATCCGCCAGTTGAGGTTTGGAAAGGGAAATGTAATCGTTGTGGAACTATCATTTGTGTCGGGAGCACCCATGGCACAAATGGCTTGAAGAACCATAAGGTTTCTTGTGAGAAGAAACATTTGGAGTAGCTACAACAACCAAATCTAAGTTTCCAAGATGATTCCTCCACGGACGGACCAGGCGAGATATCAGCTTCGCTATTCAATCAAGAAGACTCACGGTTAGCTTTTGCAGAAATGATCATGCTTGACGAGCAACCTTTCAAATTTTGTGAAAGGGAGGGCTTTCGTCATTTCATAACTCGTGTTTGCCCTATGTTCAAAATTCCAAGTAGGAAGACAGTGAGGACAGATTGTGCTAAGTTGTTTCTTCGGCGAAAAGATAGTTTGAAGTCCTTCTTCAAAGATAGAAGCATGGGGCGGGTTTCAATCACAACAGATTGTTGGACATCGTTGAAGAATGATAATTACATAACTATCACGTCACATTTCATCTCCAGAAGTTGGCATCTCCATAAAAGAATTGAATCATATGCTTCAAGAAGATAACTAGTCATAAAGGGGAGGACAATGGCCATGCGCTGATGACGTGTTTGAATGAGTGGGATTTGAAGAATGTCTTTTGTTGCACGGTTGATAATGCATCGGCTAATGACATTGCAGTTCGTCATATGAGGGAGAAATTTGAATAATGGGGGACCAACATATTAGGGGGGAGATACCTACATATGAGTTGTGTAGTGCATATCACTAATTTGGTTATTTCTGATGGCTTGGATGAGATTGGGTTGTCAGTGAGAAGGGTTAGGGAAGCTGTGAAGTGGATTACTACTTCGCCATCTAGGGTGCAGATATGGAGGAGGGCAACCAATAGCATGAACATCCAATGCAATAGATCACTAACTCTTGATGTGCAAACAAGGTGGAACTCAACATATCTAATGTTAGAGTCCGCTGAACATTTGAGGCTGCTTTTCCAGTGTATGCAGGATTGTTGCCTGCATTGGAAACTGAGTTAAACAAAATCATGCATCGTGATGCCGTTGTTGGTCCACCTGGACCGGAGGATTGGGTAAATGTTCGTTGGATGATGGAATACTTGAAGAAGTTATATGACTTGACTTGTCTCGTCTCTGACACCTCATATGTGACATCTCATCTCTTCTTTAAAGAGATGTGTGATATATTTGATCACATAGCCAATGTGGAAAATTATCCAGATCCTAAGATTAGAACAATGGCACAAAAAATGAGGTCCAAGGTTGGTAAGTATTGGGAGGAAGAAGTAGCGGGTAACTTCAGGATGAACAAGATCCTATACATAGCTGCGGCTTTAGATCCACGGAAAAAGTTGAAGCATGTACAGAAATGTTTGAAGAAGGTATACGGGTTGGATAGGGCAACTGCAATGGTGGGTGAATTGAGAGAGTTATTTTCTGAACTCTTTGAGTATTACAAAACTTTGTTGCTTCCACCTCGTCCGAGGACGAACACTAACTCTCAAGACTCTTCTACACTATCTCGGAAGCAAGCTTTGCTTAATGCTGATGTTAGGAGGCTATCAAATCGTGGTTCGTGTAGTGCCATAGAAGATAGTGACAATGAAGGAGACGACAATGATGCTTCTGAGTTCACACTCTATTTGACTGAGAATCAATTCAAGGAGAAGCAACAACAAGATAATGTTTCAGTTGTCGACTCTTTTGATAT